CCCAAATGTTGCAGGGCATGAATGTTTTAAACTGAGTGTGACACACTAATTATCTACTAAATTCAAAGCACCTGCCCAGGTTTCCCCAGGTATCATTAAATTGCTTCAGTTTGGTTCAATTGTCTCAGTTTGGTTCAATATGGGGAAGACTGCAGACATAACAACTGGCCTGAAGACCATCATTGATACCCTTCATAGGATGGGTAAGCCACAAAAGTTCATAGCTAAGGAGGCTGGCTGTTCAGAGTGCTGTGTCCAAGCATATCAATGGAAAGTCTAGTGGAAGAACAAAACGTGGCAGGAGAAGATGCACCAGCAAAAGAGATGATCATGAGCTTCAGCAGATTATCAAACAGAGAAGATTCCAGAATCTGGCAGAGATCCAGATGAGGCAGGAGTCACAGCTTCAAAAACCACCACATTCAGACGCATCAGGGAGATGGGCTACAACTGTCGGGTTCCTCGGGTCAAGCCACTTCTGAACCTGAGCCAACGTAGGAAGTGTCTCTTTCCAATAAAAGTAAAGTGTGCCTTTCATTCGGAAATCAAGGTCCAAGGCTTTGTAGGAAGAAATGTGAGGAACAGAACCCATACTGCTTGAGATCCAGTGTGAAATATCCACAGTCAGTCATGATTTGGGGTGCAATGTCCGGTGCAGGTGTTGGCAAACTCTGCTTTCTTAAATCTAAGGTCACTGCAACAGTCTACCAGAATGTTTTAGAGGACTTCATGATTCCTTCTGCTGAGGATCTGTATGGAGATACAGACTTCATCTTCCAGCAGGACCTGGCCCCTGTCCATGCTGCCAGAAGCATCAAAACCTGGTTTGATGCCCATGCCACAGCGCTTGACTGACCAGCCAACTCGCCGGACCTAAACCCCACTGAGAAACTATGAGGTATTATCAAGAGGAAAATGAGGGGCGCCAGACCCAACAACAAAGAAGAGCTGACAGCAAGCATCTAGGAAATCTGGGCTTCCGTAACTCCCAGTCAATGCCACAGGCTGATCTCCTCAATACCACGTCACACAGAGGCAGTGATTATTAAGGCAAAAGGATTCCTAACCAAGTATTGAAGATTGACATATTGTTTTGAAAGTACCATATTTTGATTGATTTGTTGTGATCCTAATTTTTTTTTTTTTCTGCAAAAACTGAGAAGTAGTGTGGGCTGATGTCTTCACAGTATTCAATTTTTTTTAAACTCTTTTTTCATGGGTTTCATGAGCTGGAAGCCCAAATTATGTAAAAATAAACAAGCAAATACTTGAAATCATTTAAATTGTAGGCCCTGAATCTATCATCTATTAAGGATTAACTTTTTGAATGGAATTATGGAAGTTAAGCAACTTTCCCATGATATTCTTATTTTTTGGAAAGGGTCTTTATATAAAGCATTTATGTAAACAGATTTTTTCCCCCAATTATTAAATTATTCCTATTGTTTTGAGTGGGTCTGATTAATGTTGCAACATTTCAGAACAAGCAAACACTTTATTGAATCTCCATTTTCTGTAAGGCACATTTAAAGGTCAAATTTTGTTCAGGTTTGTCTTGTTTAATTTGATGCAAAATAGATCATTTGTGTCCTGGCATAAAAAAAAAATCATAGAAAACTGATATATTTCATCAGGTACTGTATGTTAGCATCCATCATGCAAATCTAATGACTTCCAAATACAAAGGCCAAAAATGTTTACCTAGTGGATTTATGCCCACCTTTCATTTAGGATTGAACACTAAGTCCACTAGGTAAACATTCAAATGATAAGTTTTTCCTGGCAAATATAATTTGGGCAAAAAGGCATGTGATTTGTTCAGATCAAACTACATTTCTGAATACATTTAGAAGTAATTAGTTTTGTTATCTCATGAGCTATCCATGAACCCTGAGCAGTCAGAGTCTGGATATTCAGAGCTTTGAAAAGATGTAATTATCCTGTTTAGAACTTCCAAGTGTCTATTTAAATAATGATATGGTCGGTGAGAGCTGCCATGAAAATCACAGCTATAATCAGTGCAAGAGAACTCTTCTTTTTCACATTGAAAAGACTGAAGAGAGCTTCAAACCACTGAAGATACCTCTACTCCCTGCATTATTCCATCTCTCCTCTTAGCTTCGGTCATAACTTTATGGGCTTTCATCCTCTGACTGTCTTAAATTTTTTTATAAATTTTGTAAAATGGTGACATAAAATGTGGTAAGAATATTGCTTAGTAGTCTTCTGTAAAAAGCTAGTTTGCAGTTTGTTACTACTTACAGTTGACGACCACATTGACGTATTTGACATCAGGCGTAGCAACGTCATTGCTGGCCTTGCATTCATAACGACCAGCTTGGTTTCGCATGATGTCTACAATGTCCAGGTATTCTTCTCCATCCAGTGGTTCTGCTGCAGACAGACAGATAGACAGTCACAAACACAGGTTTGTCTTTATATCTTTACAGGGACTCTGCATTAATTCCATTCATTTTTTCTTTCATTTCTATAGCCTAACCCTGACCCTTATCCTAAACCATCCATTACCAGTACATACCTAACCCTAAACCTAACAATTGCCAGTACATACATAACCTGAAACCTAACCATTGCCAGTAAATACCTAACCCTAAACCTAACAATTCCCAGTACACACATAACCCTAAACCTAACCATTACCAGTACATACCTAACCTGAAACCTAACCATTGCCAGTACATACCTA